CCCCCATTCATCCAGACTAACCCAGTCCCAGCTATTTCAGGGCAACAAAGCCCATCTGTAAACACCCTTCCCAGCAGTTCCATATTCCCCAGTCTGGCATTTCTGAGTTCCCAGGACTGCACTGGAAAACACCACCTCCTCTCCCCACCCCTCTTTCTTTTCCCTTCTGCTCTCCTGGTGCCTAGCACCTGCCTAGTGAGCACAGTGGTCAGGAACATCAGCTCCAGCGCACCATGTCCCCACCACCCCTGGTCAGTGCCCCGCAAAGGCTAGCTTGCCCTCCACTGTTCCTGGGACCCCTGGGAAGAGGCTCCAGCACATGGAACCCTGCAGCCAGCCTCTCCCCATTTTCAGAGCTCCTACATGAGCTCCTATGGACCAACCCAGAGCATCCCCCACCGCCCTGCACCCCCACGGTGGTCCCAGCCACCAGCACAGGGCTTGGCCCACTCAGCCCCCCGGCACATCAGGCCAGCAGCCCTGGGACATAGCCAGCTCCCGGCGGGAAGGCATGGTGCAAGTCTCCCCTCTAACCATTCCTCTGGCTAGCAGTGCCAGAGGCTGCATTCGTGCAGGCAAACCCCTTCAGGCCTTCCACAGACTTGGTGATGGTCAGAGGAACCAAGGCCAACTGTCCTGCCCTCCTCAGCCAGGGACCTTTGTCAGATGCTCCGTTCAGGTCAGGTGTCTCAGTGCTGGGGGTGGGATGGTGGAGGGCAGGGCTGGGCCAGCAGAAAGACCCAGTAGGGCTGGGGAACAGCCCAGTACATCTCAGTGTGTGAAGGGGTGTCTGGGGAGGGGTGTCTCACCCCAAGTCCCTCTCAGCAAGGGGAGAGCCACATCCCAGAGAGTTTGGTGTGTCTTAATGACATGCAGGACACACGTGAACACTGGCCACAGGCACGCTGGCACAGCCATGCGCAGCGACGGGGAGAGGGGCGCACTGCAAGCACATGCAGCTGATATTTACAATGCTATCACAGCCTCCGCCGAGGCAGTACAATCCGCCACTGGATGCAAGAACAGTCTGTCAAGAGAAGAAGAGAGTCAGCAGAAGTGAGGCAGGAATGAGAGGAAGGGAGGAATCAGTGCTTGCGGAAGAAGACACCGACGAAAGAATAAGGTGGAAAATGTGGACAAGAGGAGGAACACAGGGGAAGGACTGGCAGACACCCACTGTCACTTGGGCTTATGGACAAGGTCACATGGCTTTTGAGGGCAGAGGCAGCAGATGGATGGCCAGGGAGACACACTGCTGATGAGGGACTTACCCACTCCTGTTCCTCACTGCATCTCACCGGCTGTGACCTATCTGTCTGGGGCAGCAGTGTATGTGTCAGGAAATCTGGGCCAAATTTCAGGACCATGTAATTTTGCTGTCTCCCACGGACACCCTGAGGTCAGGCCCAGAGCTGTGGTAGATGTGATCTGAAGGCAAGCTGACCAGCTCAAGTCAACCCCTGGCTCCTCCACAGCAAGCTGGGCTGCTCTCGGCATGGTGACTTGGATGCTAAGACGAAACCAGTGCAGGCTGCTGGGAGCAAGCACTGAGATGGGTAGTCCCATGTGTTGGTAGGAGGCAAACCACTGCCTGGCACCATTCACCCACTAACTGAGAGGCAGGAACTGCTGGTCTACGTGCACATCACCACACGCAGAGCACACGCATTCACATGCAGAGGAATACTCGCTCTCACATACATACACATGCACACAAACCCTTGAGGGTCCTCAAAGCTACCTGGAGAGACACTCCTTTCTGCAGAGTGCCTGGTGTACTCTGGGACAGGGGGACTCCTTGCCAGCACAGACACCAACACCTGACCCTCAGTGGGCGGCCCAGCCCCAGCACACCCTGCACAGACCAGGCTCATTCCTGGGGGCCTAGCCAGCGATTGCAGGAAACTTTGGGTAGGCTAGGAGGGTTGGTCATTGTGAAGGGGATGAGCTTCCACAGCAGGCATTGGCAGGAGTGACACAGCAGCATAGTCACTGCCAGCCTCCTACACTTCAGAGCCTGGGGTAGTTCTGTCAGAGGGGTCCCAGCCCTCCTTCCCTCTTGCCCCAGACCCCTCAAGTGCACCAAATGACGGACCAGCCGTGAGGATCTGGCTGTGGTGGCTAGCAAAGGGCTCCTGACAGGACAACCCTCCCCACCACCTCACCCTGAGAGCCACACACAAAGACATGAGGGAGAAGAAAAGAGACCAGAAAGAGGACAGACTTTGCAAGCCAGAGTTCCTGGGTGACCCCAGCAATGGCTTGGCTGCTGCAAGGTGTTACACACCACCCCTGCACCGTGGTGCCAGGCCACCCTCCTGTCTGCCTGCACCAGCAAGATGATCTGTGATGGGTGCAATGGTTGCAAACAACTCCTGGGGACCAGAGGTAACAGACCCATCTTGCACTGACCTCTCAGCAGGGAGGACAGTCATCAGAAGGGGAGGTGAAGTTGCTCTCCACCTCCTAATCCTAATCCCCCTGCTCATCACTAGACGGCTCCTTGGCAATGCTGCAAGAAAGGCGGGCTGGAGAGAGAAGAAAGCACAGGGACAGAGTGGGGCAGCTGTGAGGGGCTCTGCTCTCAGGAGTGGACATAGTTCCTGGGCATGATACCCGCCAGTGCAGGACTACCTGTGATGGAGGTCCCTCAAGAGCTTGGGGAACTGGGAGGGGAGACCAGCGCTCTTAGTGCCCCAGCACCCAGACCTAAGGAAGAGGACCAGGGAAGGTCAGGCCATGTAGAACCATTATTGAAATCTTGCCTGGCCTTCTGCACAGCCCTGCCACTGCCACTGGTGTTGTGGCACACAGAGTGCATGACTTGGGTCAGTCCCTGCCAAAACAGCCAGGGCACAGGACACCTCTGTGTGCCTGTGTCCCTGGGCATCCACAGACCCACAGCCAAGCACAGCAATACCTCGGCATCTCTGCCAACTGACCCAGTCTCTCACTTCACAGGGACTGAAAATCTCTGCCCAGTGCAGGGCCTTGAGCACCCTTTGAACTCCATTTCTGTGTGACAAGAGGATGGGGAAGGAGGTAGAGTACTAGGAAATGATACCCTACAGGCAATGGGAAACCAAGTCACTGGTGCAAAGAGCTGGGGGCGGCAAGGATGGGGTCCTGGAGGACCTAGTAACAGATGAAAGCTGCTTGCACTGGCATGAAATCTGGGAGTTTGTTAAGGCTCAGAAGCCCAGAGGCTACAGTACAGCAGTGTCACCATGCAGGGCTGTGCAGGGAGGAGCATGTTGCTGTCACAGAGGAGGAAGGTGGATGGTCTTCCTCATCCCAGCTCTGTGGGGCCTGGACCACCATCCACAGAACATCTTCTCCTCCCCTGTGCAGGGGTGGCAGTGGCAGAAGCTCTGCCAGACACAGCCCTGCAGTGGACCAGAACTGGCAAGCCCTGCTCCAGAGATGATGCAGTATGTGAAGCCAGTGGAGAGGGTTAATCTATAATCTACCTGATCCTACAGCTACACCTGGAGTTACCATCAGATCTGCTAAATGCAGCACACAGCCTTCTGGTGCATAGGGGCATTTTCAGTGCTAGACACTGGGTGTGGATGTCCCAGTGCTATGAAAAGCAGTGGCATGCTGTCTTCCTAGCACTGCTCTGAAAATGCTCCCAGCAGAGTGCTTACCATTTAGCCCCTGCCTGCAGCCACCCAGCCACCCGGTTTATACGATGTAGAGCTTCTGAAACAGTGCACAGAGTATACACATGCACCCATGTGTATGTATTGCTGTATAAATGCACACACGCAAAGCAAATGCCTTTAAATTTGATGTGTCTGATCCTCCCCTGGCATGGGACAGCAGTGTCCTGTTGGTGCAGGAAGCTGTGGGAACTCTCTTTCCTCCCACCTGCACAGATGTGAGGCTGGACGTGTGGGTGACTGTCCAAGCACATGCACAGGGAAGTCAGGCAGGGTGAGTGGGGCAGGGGCTGGCACATATCCTGCTGCTCATGTTCCAGTCTTGAGTGAGTAGACTCACTTCACAGGATCCATAGAATTCCAGTGCCTACAGCTTCAGGGGGAGGGTGGGGAAGGGGTAGTGTGACATGTTGGCCAGCTGGGGATGGTCCCCTGTGTTTAAAGAGAGGTTTAAGGTCCATAGAGCCATGGCTGTTATCTCCACACACTCATGCCATGGGCTGATCCTGGCTTGTACCTCCTCAGAAACAAGCAGATCAGGGAGCGAGGAGACAACATCAACACTCTTCAGAGCTGGACACCACTCTGGCATCCCTGTGTCACCCCAGGGCAGATGCGGTGTACAGCCTCAGGCAGTGGTGCTCTGGGGGACAATCCACTGCATGAGCAGCCTGAAACTTACGTCAATCTCACTGAGGATGACATCAATGATGCTGCCGATCACTATGAGGAAGTCAAAGACATTCCAGGGGTCTCCGAAGTAGCCCTGCCAGGGAAGAGCCAGAGAAGAGGAGTGAGCATCCAAGGGTTAAGTCAAGGAGGAAACAGATGCTGGAGCCCAGAGGAAGGAGTGCCAGAAGGATCACTAGTGACCTCTGGCACCTCAGGGAGAGACAGTTGAAGGGATGGTGATCAGGCCTTGAACCCTCTGGTGAATTCTTTGGTCCTGTCTTGCAATGGTGTGAAATGAGAAGGGTGGATCAAGGTGGCTAGAGCTATGACCCCACCAGTGACCTATGACCCTGAAGATGGGAACTGGCTGGATTGGGTTGGATTTGGCTATCAAGAGTAGCCCTAACAAACAGTAGTCCTTCCAGAAACACAAAGGTCCTGTGCAAGGGGCTCCCCAGGGGGTTCTCACATGGAGTTCTCTGGCGTTGCAGGCCAGCCTGGGGGTGCTTGTACTTGAGAGATACCAAAAGCAGGGTAAATGGACTCCCCTGTCCTAGCCTGAGCCCTTCTCCTGCCTTCTGGTCCATGCCCTCCTCTCACCTTGGCTTTAAAGGCCATAAGCTTGAGGATCATCTCCAGGGTGAAGAGGACGGTGAAGGCCACATTAAGGATGTCTGAGATGTGGTTCATTTCTGCAGACTGGTTGTAATGCTGAGGAGAAGGCAGAAGCAGCCACGTTAGCTCACAGCAGGTCCAGCCTTTGTTGTGAGCTCAGAGGTGTGTGCTGCATGCAGACCCCCTCCCACAAACCTATGGCTCAGCAATGGTCAGCAAAAAGGAAATTCACCCCGCTACTGCTCATACTCTGGGCTTTCCACTCCAACCAGTCCCATGTTGCCCCTATCCCCAGGAGTGCTGAGCACACACCATGAGCTTTGCTGTGTAAGAAAGACCTCCCCAGAAGCTTTCTTGGAGGTGGCAGGGCTGAGCTAGCCCACCTGCTGCTGTGGACACCCCTCCACCACCCATGGTGGGCACTGTGCCCTTTACCTGCATGCCCAGGCAGATGGTGTTAAAAAAAATCAAAGTAGGAGGAGGTGACCACATACCAGATCTGGTACTGGTAGGGGTTCTTGGGGATGTAGCGCCGCAGTGGCCGAGCCTTCAGTGCATACTGCACACACTGTCGCTGGGGAGGGAAGGGCAGGTGTGATCCCGCAGCAGGGCACAGGGCAGTGCCAGGGGCACAGGCACAGAGTCAGCACCACTGGCAACACTGCACGTTCCCACAGACACAAGTTGGATCCCCTCTTCTCTCTCAGCCCAGCGACATGGGCTGGAGACAGCAATGGTTCAAGTATCTGCTCTACTTTCTGCAAATACACCCCCAGAGCAACCACATGGGACCAAGTTTCTGAAGCCACTGATTACCTCCAAAGATTGCCGTGCTGCCCTCCTGCCGAGCCCTTCAGCCCTGAGCCTGCCTGGACATCACGGTAATTTCCCAGGGTCTGACAGGACTGGCCGAGAGCAGCCTGAAGACATCATATGAACCAGGGGTGAGAGGAACACTGAGCTTTCTCTCTGCAACTTGGAGGTACTGAGCAGGCCCTTCCCTCCCCTGCAGGCCAGGGACATCTCTGCTGCGGCCATATGCAACTCAGATGACCCTCGAAGTCACCAAGGTGAAGGGCTCCAAAGTGGAGGATTGAGTTGGAGGTCCCTTCCTGAAGTGGCAAAACCACAGCAAACTCCACAAAGGAACAAGCTTTTCCAAGCGCAGGTGAGAGAGAGGGAGCCCCAGCCCGCTGGAATGGGAAGGGTGAGCTGCTGAGAGCTGCCAACGAGCGCCAGCTCTGACTTGGCACTGGGGGGACAACCCCCTCACATACAAGAGCAGCCCCCAGGGAGCGTGCGTGACCCAGAGTGCAGCGAGCAGAGCGTGCCATGGCAGTTCACACAGGCAGGGCGTGTTGGCAGGGCCCACCGAGGGTTGCCACTCGGAGGAAAGCCATCGCCAGGAAGAACGTGGCGAGCCAGACGATGGTCCCACTCAGGCAGGCAGCTGTCCAGGTCTCCGGCTGCAGGGAGTGCCTGAGGCTGTAATTCCTACCGAAGGGAGCAGAGACAGCCCCTGTGTGGGGGGTGACCGGGGGGATGATCTGCTTGACTGGTGGCAGAGCTGAATGAGGAGGTGGAAAGGCTGAGGATTACCAGGGAACGTGAGAAGGAGATAGGTTTTGGCTCCACCAATTTACAATCCTTGAGGCAAAGGCAGCAGATGGAGGCCCCACAAGAAGCAGTGGATCCTGTATCCTCTTGCCACCAGGCAGAAGGAAGGGATTTAAGAGAGGGAGGAGAATGAAAACAAGTCCCTGATCAAGGAGGTAGGCAGAATGCCCTCCTGCCCTCCCTCCCCTTCCCAGTTGCCCCTGCAGAACAGATATGGGGCTCTGGAACTCAGGGGCCAGGCAATTGAGGAGGCAGGGGAAGGTCTATCCAGGGAGTTGCCCAGGATGACTCCATCAGCCTCACGCATTATGACTGCCTCCGTTAAGAACTCCACCTGGGGATGGATGAGGAGCTGACCGAGAGCTTATGGGTCAGGATTAAAGGGAGGGCAGGGAGAGGGGACACAGTAGTAGGGGTTTGCTACAGGCCACCTGGCCAGGACGAGCAAGTGGATGAGGCCCTCTACAGACAGATAGCAACAGCCTCACGGTCACATACCCTGGTCCCCATGGGGGACTTCAACC